GACCACCGCAGCCTTGACCTGCTGGGCTCCGGCGATCCTTGCACCTCAGTCTTCGGAGTAGCCGGAATTACAGGCATGCGCTACCACGCCTGGCTGATTTTTTTTGTAGAGATGAGGTCTCGCTGCCCAGGCGGGTCTCGAACCCGTGGTCTCAGGCAATCCACTCACCTCAACCTCCCAAAGGCACGGGATTACAGTCTGAGCCGCTGAACCCGGCATGGCTGTACATTTGTAAAAGAAGGTAAGGTGGGTGGCTCACACCTGTAATTCCAGCACTCTGAGAGGCCAAGGCAGGAGGATCACTCGAACCCAGGAGTTTGAGACCAGCCCGGGCAATATATAAGTCCTTGTCTCTACAAAAAATTAAAAAGTTATCCAGGCGTGGGAGTGCGCACCTGTAGTCCCAGTCACTCAGGAGGCTGAGACAGAAGGATCACCTGAGCCCAAGAGCTTGAGACGGCAGTGAGCTGTGATCGTGCCACTGCACTCCAGCGGGAAACGACAGAATGAGACCCTGACCAAAAAAAAAAGAAAAGCAAAATGGAAATCGTCCTTCTCCAGACCCTTTTTTTTTCTGCTGAAGACACCAAGTCTCAGAAAAGTGAGTGTTGGGAATTCCTTTCCCTGCCTCTCTCTTTCGGGCTAATTCTCGGGCACTCTTCAACCCTAAACTCCGATGGCATCTCCTCTTCTGTGACCCCAGTCAAGGTCAATGCCATGCTCAACTTTGAGCTTTTCCTGGCGCATGGCATGCCTCCCAGGGATGGATGGATTGATGTTCTCAGAGCAACACATGCTGTGTTCACAGAGCTCGTCATATTTCTAATTACAGACTCTAAGGAAGCTTCCTTGGCTCAGGGATGCATGGGTCATGCTCACCATTGTCCCCAGTCCTTGAGCACAGTGCCTGCAGGCTGAAGAAACTCAGGTGTCCGGATGGGCGACGGTCACACCCAGAGCCATACAGCCGGGGAAGGAGTGGAGCTGGGTTCGCCCGGCTTTGGTCTGTCATGCTCCGCCAGGGACATTTTTTTGGGACCTTGAGGTGTGCGTGGTGTTGAGGAGCTGGGCGTGGTGGGAAGGGGGACACAGTGACGTTCCTCTGTCACTAGAGAAATTCAGTGTGTTGGCCATCAGCCGTGAGTGGACCAGGAGGACCGGGATGATCACGTGTTGACCAAGGAGAGGGCTGCCCCACCTGGATAATTTCAGTGTCTGACACCAGGGGGTTGACTGTGTTTTGCTGTATATACCAGGGATGCCAAAAAATGTGTACACATGTTAAGAGACGTTATCTGTGTATTGCTTTTAGTTTGCCGTAATCAGGAGAGTCTGGACGTTGGTGGCAGCCACTTGAAGCACCTCTTGTAATTGTGGAAGTCAAATGTGACCTGCAGTGGTGACCATGAGCTTGCCACTGTACTCCAGCCTGGGCGACAAAGTGAGACACTGGCTCAAATTAAAAAAAAAACAACAAACAGCTATGACTTGTATTCATCTTTGTTATCAGTATATATTGAGTTTTATAATTTTATTTTATTTATTTTTTGAGTTGGAGTCTCACTCTTGTCGCCCAGGCTGGAGTGCAGTGGCACACTCACAGCCACCACAGCCTCCACCTGCTGGGCTCCGGCGATCCTTCCGCCTCAGCCTTCCAGGTAGCCGGAACTACAGGTGCGCGCTACCACGCCCGGCTCATTTTTGGATTTATTGTAGAGATGAGGTCTCGCCAAGTTGCCCGGGCTGGTCTCGAAACCACGGGCTCAGGCCATCCATTCGCCTCGGCCTCCCAAAGTGCTGGGACTACAGGCTGAGCCTCCGAGCCCAGCGTGTTTCACCTTTTCGTAGTGGCTATTCTGATGGGAGCGAGGGGGTCTCACTGTGGTCTTGCTTTGCATTTCTCTGGTGATCGATGTGGTCGAACATCTTTTCATGTGTCTGTTGCCGCTTAGATGTCTTCCTCTGAGAAGTGTCTGTTCGACATTAGAGTGTTTTTGGAGACTGTTTCACTGAAGTGGGGAGGTGTGTGGATGTGGATGTCTGCAGGAGCGTCTGGAAGGAAGTCAGTTAAAAGGCATGTGTGAGTTATCTCTTGAGGGCTGGGAGGACAAGTGAGTACCCTCCCCCCACCCCACACAGATTCCCAAAGTTGTTTCTTGGGTGAACATGGTAGGGAAGGGTAGGGGCTCTGGTCTCCTGTGCTGTGACCTTGGCAATGGCCCTGGGAGGTGGTGTTATGGCTCTGTGGCCTGGTTCTGGAGAATAGGCTCTGTTTTTTGTGTATTTGTTTGAGTCGGGGTCTCCCTCCGTCACCCAGGCTGCAATGCAGTGGCATGGTCACGGTTCACCACAGCCTCGACCTCCTGGGCTCAGGCAATCTTTCCACCTCTATAGCTCACTGCAGCCTCGGCCTCTTGGGCTCAAGCAATCCTTCCACCTCAGCCTCCCAAGCAGCTGGGACTATAGGCACATGCCACCACACCCAGCTAATTAAAAAAAATTTTTTGAGACAGGGGTCTCACTGTGGTGCCCAGGCTAGTCTTGAACTCCTGAACTCAGGCAACCCTCCTACCTCAGCTTCCCAAAGTGCTAGGATTACAGGGATGAGCCACTGCATCCAGCCCAGGTCTCTCATTTTAAAAAATTTTCTTGTTTGGTCATATTTTTTTAAACTCAATTCCCAATTGGCTTTTATCTGGTCATTTGTTTAAGATGAGTATTCAGTTTGGCGTATATGTCATATGGAAGCTCTCGTCTTTTTTTTTTTTTTTTTGAGTTGGAGTCTCATTCTGTTGCCCAGACTGGAGTGC